TTCTCAGGTGCTGAGTGCTTTTTTTCATACAGCTGTTCAGTGAGGGTGGGGGAGCATGAGCTGTGGGAGTTCCCGCCGCAGGGGTCATCATGGTTTCCAGGTGTCGTCATCTGCCTGGTAGCTGACCTGTTAGGAATTCCAGGGTGGGACCGGTATCTGCGTCACCATTTGCCTGGTGCACTGGCCTGTTACGAATTCTAGGAAGGGCCCAGTATCTGTGTCACCATCTGCCTGGCGGAGGCATGCATCAGCTCCTGGACCCCCTTTCGACTTAACCTGAGCCAAACCACCTAGGGCTTACTAAGCATTTCTTAAAAGTGCATTATATTAAAAACTACCCAAAAAAATTCAAGTTGTGATTGTGTAAAAACAACTCTCTCACCATTCTCTTCCTACCTTCCAACAAAACTAAAATACAACGCATCACTTTGTTGTTAACTTTCCTTCCACAGGGTAGAGTTAATGACTGGTGGGGAGTATCTGTTCAGAGAATCTGCAAAGAAAAGATACTGAGGACTGAAGTGAGAGCCCTCCAGGAAATAATCTAGACTGGCTCACCAATTACTTTGAGTCAGTGGTGGTGTCAAATTATCCATCCATCCATCGTTCATTTACTTAACAAAAACGGATATTTACGAGTGCCTACTATGCAGCAGGCATGATTCCAGGTGCTGGGGATACAGCACTATATAAAACAAAGTTCTGACTTCGTAAAGCTCACATTCTAGTTATAAGAAACAGACAATGAGCACATGCCAGGGTATTAAGAGGGATTGGAGGGGTGGAATTTTACATGGAAGGGAAGACTGAAATGGAATTAGGGAGTAAGATATGAGGCTAAGTGGAGGGAAAGTATTCCAGAGGGAGTAATTGCAAAGGTCTTCAGGCAGGAAACTGCTTGGTGTGTTCCAAGAATAACAAAAAAGTCAATGACCAGAACTGAGTGAGGGAGAAAGTAATAAGAGATGAAATCTGAGAGGTGACAGAGTCTCCTGGGCCATTAATTATTGGGACTTAGGGTTTGAGACTGAATCAGAAGGATCTGCTTTGACTCAAGGCTGTAGCAGCGGTTCTCAACCTATGGGTCGCGACTCCTGAAAATACATCCTGCATATCAAATATCTACATTACGATTCATAACAGTAGCAAAATTACAGTTATGAAGTAGCAACGAAAATAATTTTATGGTTGGGGGTCACCACAACATGAGGAACTGTATTAAAGGGTCGAGGCATTAGGAAGGTTGAGAACCACTACAAGGGTCATCCAGGCTGATGCATGGAAGTTAAGACGGTAGGAGGCATAGAAGCATGGATGTGGAGCTATTGTCCTAATCCACGTGAGAGATGACCACAGCTTGGACTTGAGCAATAAGAGGTAGCAGTGGGAGATGACTCAGGCCTGCAGCTACATGTCCCCGTGCATGGTTAGAAAAAGAGTTTGTAGTCTGGCGACTATACGTAACGATGCTGTGTTGCATATTTGAAAGTTGATAAGAGAGTAAATCTTACAAATTCTCAAAGGAAAAAAGATGTCCCTTCTGGGGCTCAGGCTGACTTTCAGTTCCCACTTGCCCCCTCACCCAGCTGCCCTGGACAGGGAACAGCCTGTCCAGGATTCCTCCTGTGAGGGCAGAGAAGTGAGTGAACACGAAGCCTTGCCCTCATTCCCTAAAGCATTTTACAACATGCAGTGGGTCCTCCTGTTGTCTTGGATCAGTAACTTCCCCGGTCTTTTCTGCTGTCATCCCTTGTGCAGGTTTGTCTGCACCTGAACTCCCTGATGGGCTGGAATGTTTTCTTCAAATTTTAATATTTACCAGGGCATTTTTACATGGAAATGTTGGGGAGGGGGGACAGCATGTCCCCAACCCCCATACCACCCCTCTACCCTTCTTGAATTTTTACGACTGGACTAACAATAAAATGAACGTAAGGCCAGATCCACAGGAGAAAAACCAATGTAAAATGTGGGCATGGGAAATCATAGGTGATGGTCTGAGAAAGGATAGGCTGGTCATCTTTTTATACTTCTTAAACAAACAATAAATTTGTGAAGAATCAACAGGACAGGTTTGCATGCTTGTTGGTGAGGAATCTAATCTAAACCAAGTTTGGGCTTGGACAGTTACCTAGTAACAAGGTTTTTACCTTAAGCTTCTCCCCACTGCCCCGCCTCTGGGTTCCCTAACTAGAGCGATCAGAAGGGCACCTTTCACATGGGGGTCTTGATCTCCTGCTTTCTGGGGGACAGGAGAGAGGCCAGAAAGTTCTTGCATTGGCAGTTTCTTAAGTAACTTTAATCCAAAATAATATGTATTGTGGGATACTTTGTGGCGGCCTGCTCTGTTCCCATACAACACAAACGGAAAACTTTGGAAGCATAAACTTAATTTATTTGGAAATGGCAAATAAGACTGATTTTTTCACATTGATGCATCCTTCCAAAGTTTACCACAGTTCCGCTGGGGACCCGGGTCGCTCAGAGGCACTGGACGCTCTCTCCGCCGATGGC